CCCCAAAACCCCAAAACCCCAAAACCCCAAAACCCCATTTTAAAAATGATTTATTGATTAATTCGATTATTAGATGTAAGGATTTCAAATTTTATCATAGTTTAAGCCTTTTTAGGCAGTAATCCAGTCATCCTGAGTTACTATTCCACAGATGAACGGGACTTTAGCATCCTCTTCGAGAGATGGATGAGTCAGAACCAAGATATAATCATCTTGGATTATGTAGGAGTTATCATCAGGTTTGAACTTTAGGGCAGCCCTTTTTGGCACCTTTCCTTGGATAGTCACTTCTGAGTTGAAGACAGTATCTGAAATCAAGGTTTTCTCCTCTTCATCTACTTCTAATCCATGCATGAAGTCTAATTTTTCGTTCTGGATCACCTTCTTGAATCAAGGAAGGTATAGCCCACTGGTGAACTTAGTTTCTGATTCACTCATCGAAGAAGTAATATCTTTTCAGTACTCATAGAGCTCAATTGATGTTGAGAAATGAATATCTGATGGTCTTTTGAAGACAAGTAATCCGAACTCGCTTTTGTTCCCAACAGGCATGAAGAATATTTCACTGTCAATATTTGGAGCCTTTACGCACATCATGTCTTTAGTTTTGATCCTTAGATATGCGTAGATTTTAGATGTTACAGAGTAAGTTCAATAATCAATGCTGAGAAGTTTTCCCTCAACCTTGGTGGCATTTCAATGGTATTCATTTTGGGAAGCTTTAATCATCCGTTGGTCTAGTTTGATATCATTTGCTATAGCAGGCTCAATGGCTTTAATAACGTCTGCATCTTTATTACATGCTGTGTTAGGAAAAGCATCTATTCTGTTTTCCTTCACCTTATTCAAAATTCCGACCAAACTCTTATGGTGAATAGGAAGATCCTCATCATTCGTATTTATTTTTGATTTTATTAAGCTTGACAGTCAAAGACTTGGAATGAAAAATAATGAGCTATTACTCTTGGCACTTTGAGGTCTCACAGTCTCTTTCGAGACTGAATAACAAAGTGCCGATTTTACTGATAGCATATCTTCAAGTTCATTCCTAGTAATATCTGCTTTATCCCTGACAGATCCCATGACAAGGATTCTGTCATTTTTAACATTGAGGATATTCTTCCACTTGAGCTTATTCTTTTTCATAGCTTCTTTCATTTCAGGGTCTACTGTTTTGACGGTTTTACCATTCTTTTCCTCATCATAATGATGGAGGCCAATTCTGATCTCTTTAACAGTCTCATGAGTCCAAATATGATCAATGACCACTTTCATGGCCAGTTCAAATCCTTTCTTATTAACTGTAGAGATATGGTGCAGGTTGATTCGGTCAAAATGTGAGTCTCCACTGTAGAGAAGGATTCCGTCAATTTCTTCTGAGGTCTCTTTATTATTAATCTTGTAGCACTGAGCATTGTTGCCTTTGAAACATTCCTCAAGAATGTACTCAGGCGTATTGTAAGTCACGTTGAATTTGGGGTCTATCTTGCGTGTGTAGTCCTGTAGGAAGGAGGCAGCAGCAGAAGAGGAGAGATCGAGGGGGATAAGTTCGTAGTCGAACTTGGAGTCTTCAGTAGTGAGTGCCTGTTCAGAGGCGGTAGGTGGATTAGCAGGCGGTTGAGGGGCAGAAGGAGCAGTTTCAGTTTTCTTCTGTTTTCGAATTTCAAACAAATTCTGCCGCGCAGGTACGGAAGTGGTCTTTTGTCCTTCTTTCTTCTGGTTTGGATTTGTGTTCTCAGCGTTTTCAGGTTCCATTTCAATGTCTTTTGATGGAGAAATTTGCTTCTTTGAACTCATCGGACTGGCAGCCTCGCTTTCAGTATCTTTTACTTCCTTTTCTAAGATAACTTCACTTGCTTTGATCCTTTGCATTAAAGAATTGTCGAGAGGAACTTCAAATTTGTCACTCGTTGATTTATGTTTTAACTGCTTCTTTGCTCTTCCTTTCTTTAATCCCTTCAAACCAACACCTGCATGAGCTACAGATGGGATAACTAGGAATGGATCATTCTTGTCAGAGAAATTAAAGTACTTTGATAGAACATGCTCGCTGAGGAAATCAGTATCTGACTTCATCTTCACCAAGTAATTAGTTCCATCCCAAAGGTATGCAATATTAGGAGAAGGATTATTTTTGTTCATTGGAGTACATTGATTATATGCATACAGCATCTGCTCTCTCCAGATTACAATTCACTCAACAGCGTTGAGAGATAACATTCTGAGACTATGTAGCTTATGAGTACATTTTGTGATATAAGATTCTAAAACTTCAATACCATGATCTCCAAATTGTTTTACTTCATCGAGACAATTCTCTCTAGCTATAATTGCAATAGAGACTTTTTGGATTGGTGCCTTATTTTTCTTGAGATCCTCAATTTCCTTTGCCATCATTGCTGCTGCAGAATCCATTTGCAGAAGCTTGAGATACTTAGTAAACACTTCAGAATGATACTGCGGAATGTTGTAATCAGCCCAGGATTTATGAAGATCCTCTTCTAAATTTTTAACCATCTCCTCAGTAATAGTTGCTCTATTAATTCTGAGGCCTGCTTTAGGAGGTCTTTTAGAGATCCTCCTGCTGACACTTCTTTCTTCACCTGCTTCTACTGTTTTACGAATTTTCCGTTTCCTAATCCTTCCAGGGGCTAGTTCCGTTTGTCCTTGAATTCTTTTGGGTTTCTTGAACTTCTTCTTGATCATATTCACGTAAGCTTGGCAATGTTTATCCCTTAGGGCATTATACTGGGGCATTCTCTCAATAGAGAACCTGTCATCCCAGTCCTTTTTCGTTCGCATCTGGCTTCTACTATTAATGCTAGCTCTGGTTATTGGCCGTGGGCCTCTTTCTTGATACATTCTTTAATTTAAACTATTATTCAAATATATTATAATCCCAAGGGGTTTTGGGGTTTTGGGGTTTTGGGGTTTTGGGGTTTTGGGGTTTTGGGGTTTTGGGG